CAAGTTAATACGGAGACCCGAAATCAAAGAGAAGCGCTCAAGAACCTGTTGCAGATTAGGAAGCGTCGTCAGAGGCTTAGTAAGAGTCAAGAGGGCATCGTCCGCAAAAAGATTCAGCTTAAACTCCTGTCCCGCGTATGAAACCCCCGATATATTGCAATCGGTCCGGAGCGCTAAAGCCAGCGGCTCAAGCGCCAGTATAAAAAGCGCCGGGGACAAAGGGCAGCCCTGTCTCGTCCCTCGCCCAATAGGAAAGGGGTTCGAGAAAATACCCAGCATATTTAACGGAGGGCCGAAGGAGACGAATACAAGGCTTGAATCCAAGAAAGGATAGAATCCCGAAACCCCCAACGAGACAGCACAAACCGCAGATATTCCCAGGATAGAGAGTCAAAGGCTTTATATATGTCTAAGGACAGTAAGAATCCCGGGATTTTCCGCTGTTGCAGAAGATATATAAGATGGACCACCTTACGAACGTTATCACCCGCCTGCCTCCCAGGGATAAACCCCACTTGGTCCCTGTGGACCAGCTACGCAAATAGTTATTGATGCGAGAGCTAAGAATCTTGCCCAATATCTTCAGGTCTTCATTAAGAAGAGAAATGGGCCGAAAGGCTTGCGGTTCCTGTACATCCTCGTTCGTCTTAGGAATCATGGCTATATGTGCTCTAAGTGCGTCCGGGGGAGGGCAAGGAGCCCTGTCGTAACTCATTGAAATAGTCAGCCAAGAAGGGCGCCAACAGGACCGAGAATTTCTTATAATAGAGACCGGAGAGTAGCCATCAGGACCTGGGGCCGCGGTGGACCTCAAAGATTTGATGGCTTGGAGCACTTCCGGTACGGTAACACAGGCATTGAGGGCCACCTGTGCTGCCTCGGATAATCCCGGAAGACGAAGATCTTGAAAAAATGCCTCTGCCTGAGCCACAGGGAAGGGATCAGGCGCAGTGTAAAGGCGCGAAAGGAAGTCCGAAAATCGGGAAACAATCTGCCGAGGATTAGAAGTACATCCACCTGTGGGAAGTCGCAGTCGGATTGGTTTATGGGGTTTCCCCACGGAATTGAGCTTCCTAGCCAGCATCGGGCCCGGTTTATTAGCACAGGAATAAAATTTGTGTTTGGTCCAACGCAGAGCCCGTTCCGCCTCCGAAGAGGCAAGTAAGTCTAATTCGGTCGCCAGAGCGTCCCGAGTCCGCGTTTATGGGCTGCGGATGGAGACGACTTCCAGCGCGCATCCGCAGAAGCCAGGAGAGAATGAAGCTCCAAAAGTCGGCGCTCCCGCTCAGCCCCGCTTCCGGACCGCCGCCAGCTGTATAACATGACCCCGCACCGTGGCCTTATGCGCCTCCCACAGGGGCACTGCCGAGGAGACCGATCCCGAGTTTTCCGTGAAGTATGTACGTAAGAAAAATTCTATTTGTTGGCAGGTAGCCTGAGTGGTCAATAAAGAATCGTTTGATGCGCCAATGAAAAAGGGCGCCGTTCTGACCCAGAGAGGGCAAGGAGAAGTACCAAGGGATCGTGATCCGACCAAGGTGAGGAGGGAATAAGATTATCCGCCTGACCAAGGGAAGCTGCTGAACCGGCATAAATATATGATCAATTCTACAAAAACTATCATGAGGACTGGAATAAAATGTAAAGTCGCGTTCAGTCGGGTGAAGCTCCCTCCAGACGTCCGCTAGCCCCGCTGTCCGCAAAAGAGAGCGCATACGTTCCTCCAGCACCAAATCATGGGAAGGGGCCGCCCCCCGTGCACAGCGCCTATCCAACGTGGAATCCAAAGTAACATTTGAATCCCCCAAAAACAAGAATGAGACCCTTGGAGTGTCGGGAAACAATGGTGCAAAGATGCGAAAAGAATTTATCCTGAAAAACGATTGGGTGCGTAGTAAGAGACAAAAGTAACCTCCTGGTCCCAGAGAGTGCCCTGCAAAAGCAAATACCTGCCCGTGGGGTCCGCTATATTCCGAGCACAGACAAAGGGAAGATTGCGTTTTAAAAGCTATCAGTACACCCCGACGCTTCTCAGGAGCCGAGGGCCGTGTAAAAGGTGGGATAGTGAGGTGAAAGATAACGCGGAGCGGAGGACTGCGAAAACCTGGTCTCTTGTAAACATACACGTCAATTTTGTTGCGATTTAAGGTGATGAAAGACTTTAGCCCGCTTCTGAGGCGAATTGAAGCCTTGACATTCTGCGAGTGTATTTTCAAAAGGGGCGAGCCCCCCCCCCATGGCGATATCAACGCAACACGCTCGGCAGAAAAACCCATAAAGCAGCTAGCAATTTCCGCTTCCAATGGCGAGCGGACCGTGGCGTCCTGAACCCTGCAGAAAAACAAGAAACAAAAAAAAAACCAAAGGAGAAAAAAGACAAAGAAAGAAAAAAGGAAAAAGACATAAAAAGTATATACAATAGTGCAATTGTGTCACGCCAATGGTGACGCGCATCCTACAAAAGGAAGGATACCCAGTTAGGGGTGGCTCTACCACCGGACACATGGCTGCAAATGAAAACATTCAGAAACTAAAGCCCCCAGGGGGCAAAAGGGCAATAAGGCAACAAACATAATCGAACGGGGTCCGAAGCTATAAAACTAAGGGTCCAGGAGCGAGGCCTCCATGAAGACCTCCATAAAAACCCAAAGAACCTTGGGGCCAACCCCCTCCCACCCAGCCGGGCCCGCCAGATCAACCTCCACCCCGAAGCCCGAGGGAACCCTCACCCCATGCTACCAACGGAAACCAAAATACCCTCACCCAGGCCCAAGATAGGTTGCGGCAGCGGAAAGTCATAAGTCCTGAGTCCGCGAGGGGACCCCCTCCCACCCAACCAGGGAAGGAACCCAAGGGGGTAAACCAGATCAGTCCCAACCCGGAATGCTGACAAAACGGGGGAGCCCCAAGGGCCAAACTCACGGTCGCCAGAGAAGTCCATCGCTGAGATGACACACGGGAAGTCCAAGGACACATCCTCAGCCCGGAGAGAAGAACAAGAAGGACTTGATCGCGAAGGGGTCTGGGGGAGAGCCCTCTTCCTATCGGACGACCGCTCCCAGATGCGGCCGGAGGAAGCGGCCGTGCCGGAGATCCTGATGAATGAGCCGGGCTCCGATCCGCAGAATCAGGCGAAAGAAGGCGCAAGGACTCCAGCAGAGAATGGGCCTCCTCCGGCGTAGCCACAGAGTGACTGCGGCCCTGGTAGGTGAAGGTGAGGCGAAACGGGAAGCCCCAGGCGTATTTAATACGGTGTTTCACCAGGACCGAAGTGAAGGGCTTCAACTGGCGGCGCTTCTGAAGAGTGGTCTGGGAGAGGTCCGCAAAGAGCTGGTAGCGATGCCCCCTGGAAGCTGAGGTCAGGGTTGTTCCTAGCCGCCAAGAGGATAGTTTCCTTAGTGCGGTAATACGTAAACTTGATGATAATGTCCCTGGGGGGCCCCTCCGGTCGTCTGGGGCCCAATGCACGATGTATGCGGTCAAATTCAAGCCGGTCTATGGGAATAGCGGGTGTCAGCTCCTGGAAAAACAGAGCAGTAGCAGTAGAAGTAAGATCTGCGACCGTTTCCGGGATACCCCTTAACCGCAGATTGCCACGGCGGGAACGGTTTTCGAAATCCTCAAGCCGTAGTAGCGTGTCCGCCAATTCTTTCTTGAGGTCGCACAGATCCTGTTCGTGATTTTCCATGACCGTGACTGCCGCGTCCATCTTATCTTCAAGGTCGTTCGTCCGATTGCCCAACTCCCGAAATTTCCCGTGAAGGACGATCGGCCAGCTTGGAGGTAGCGGAGGACAACTCGGACTGCAACATGCACTTAAAGCGGCGTAGGAGCTCAGCATCCCGCAGGGATGGGATCGGAGACTGCAGGGATGGCTCTGGTGCCAGGTCCTCCCCACTGCCAGGGTCCGACCCACCCAGGGATGGTGACAGCGAGGGACCCAAAATTGCGTCTGGGGCTCTATCTGAGGTCCCCGGCGGGAGCCGCGAATCCGCGGCCAGGGTCTTGGAAGTGTCTGGCGGCCGGCCAAAAATCGAGGCCGCGGGCTTCAGCCGCGATCTCCGGCGGGTAGGCCGCAAACTCCGGAGCGGCCCCGCGGGAGCTGGAGGCACGGGCGGCCGGCGTTTTTTTTTGCCCATCAGGGCACCAGGGAGACAGGGGGCCAGAGAGGAGACAGGGGGACCCCCCCTGGAGGGCGAAGATCGGCCGATGTGTCCGGCGGGCCGAGGTGGGATTTTAAAAAAGCAGCCATCCTGGTTGCTGCTCACGAGCACACAATCACTTTTAACCTCTTAAATCTTACAGTAATTGTCCACTAGTAAGGTTTGGGAAGCCAGAGAAAGTGGGGCCATGTGCTTAACCAAGTATTCCAAGTACTCAAATTGCTTAAAGCGGTTGTAAACCCTTACATATCCCCCAGTGAAGTGACCTGCTTCAGATGATCCACAAAATGAAAAGAAATCCTCCTACGTAAGTTGTACTTGTTTATCTGTAGCCATCTCCTCTCTACAGCTGTTCGAAGTGCTGAATTTATAAAGTTTGTCTGAGAGTTCAGAAAAAAAAGTGGGCAGAGAAATGAAATTACACACTGGAGAGCTCAGTGAAGGGAGCTCTGAGAGCTGATTGGAGGGAAGAGACACACCCTCCTCCACACAGCTCACAGGAACAGAGCTGAGGCTGTCAGTATGTTGGAGGTTCCTCCCCTATCACCATTTTTCTCTTGCTGTCAGGAAAACCTGTCAGAAGTGACTCAAACTGATAGCAGAGGAATGGGGCAGCAGACAGAAATGACACTAGTGCTCTTAATTGAGACAAGTACACATTTATAGAGGGTTGTGCTTTGTTCATATTTCATGTCTAAGATTTACAGCCACTTTTAAATACAATAAAAATAAACCTGAAATGCAGGTTCTGCAGGTGTGCTGAGAGTACTGGATTAAATAAATATTTTATACTCATGTTTGCTGTACGTATTCAAGCAATGCTCTTACTAATTTCAGGCACTGGCTGCAGGATGCTGTAAGAGAAAATGAACCTGATTCATTCTCTGTATACCTTGTTGGGACTAAAAAAGACACTTTGGTGAGTAAAAGGTCTAAAGTTTGGCTCATTTCAGCATCATGTAAATGTTAGGTAAACATTCTGTTTCATACAGGATTTAGGTGTTTGCATGTTGACACTGTGATTGTGCTGAGATTTTCCCACACAATAGCGCCTTTGTAATGGATTTGATAAATGCCCTCTACCTCTAGTCAGAACACAAACAGCAACCTGAAATTTAGTTTTGGAGTTCATATTTTCTGTAAATCTTCATTTACTATGAGGGCAGTTATATGGTGAAGTCTGTACTTAAGATGTAAAATTTCTGGAAATTTTGAAGCCAAGGGAGCAAAATTTTTTTTTTTCTGGAAAAAATTTACATTTTCAGAGAAGTTGAAAAAAAAATTCAGTGTAGAGTCTTATAAATTGAAAGTCATTTGGTTACACTGCAAATTGCAGCTTTGCTCTCAGCAGAAATTGCACTGTGGAAATGTTTCCAAATACTAGATCAGGGTTTCTCAAATTTGTTTGCCTTTGAGGAACCCCTGGCAAAAAGTCTATTATCTCGGGAAACCCCTGAAGTAAGTCTTGTATGTATAGCTCACAAACATTGATGTGGTCAGCGAGCTGTAGATAGAACAGCAGTTATTCTTAGAAAAAGCATTAAACAGTAGAATACATATTAAAACTTACCTCCTTAATATGAAACGTGCTTGCTTTTTTTTTTTTGCACAGATGCTTAACTCTGGGTCAAACTTGAGATAAGCAGTGTACAGGAGGTAAGGGGATCCATGAGCTAACAGTGCAGGGGGGCCAGGAGAGAACTGAACAAGAGTGGGGGGGCAGAAGGGAACAGTGCGGGGGTAGGGGGGGGGTAGAAGAGCACAGTACAGTACAGTGGGGCTAGGAGGGAACAGTACAGGGGGAGCAGGAGAGAACAGTATGGGGGAATCAGAAGGGAAACAGTATAGGGGGGCAGGAAGAAACAGTATAGGGGGGCAGGAAGAAACAGTATAGGGGGGCCAGGAAGAAACAGTATAGGGGGGCAGGAAGAACCAGTATAGGGGGGCAGGAAGAAACAGTATAGGGGGGCCAGGAAGAAACAGTATAGGGGGGGGAAGAAACAGTATAGGGGGGCAAGAAGAAACAGTATAGGGGGCCAGGTAGAAACAGTATAGGGGGCCAGGTAGAAACAGTATAGGGGGGCAGGAAGAAACAGTATAGGGGGCCAGGAAGAAACAGTATAGGGGGGCCAGGAAGAAACAGTATAGGGGGGCCAGGAAGAAACAGTGTAGGGTGGCCAGGAGGAAACAGTATAGGGGGGCCAGGAAGGAACAGTATGGGGGGAGCTGGGAGGGAACCGTATAAGGGGGCCAGGAGGGAACAGTATGGGGGGCCAGGACAGAACAGTATGGGGGGAGCTGGGAGGGAGCAGTATAGGGAGGTCAGGAGGGAAGCAGTATAGGGGGGCCAGGACAGAACAGTATGGGGGGGCTGGGAGGGAACCGTATAGGGGGGCCAGGGGGGAACAGTATGGGGGGCCAGGACAGAACAGTATGGGGGGGAGCTGGGAGGGAGCAGTATAGGGAGGTCAGGAGGGAGCAGTATAGGGGGCAGTCGAGCACAGTACAGGGGGGCCAGGAGGAAACAGTACTGGAGGGCACAATACTGGGGTCTGCAGAGGTTTCCTCATGCAGAGTAGCTCAGGAAAGCTCCTGGATCATATCTGAGGCACTGATCCCCTCCCACCCTCCTCTCTTGCCCCTCCTGAGTTATGTTACACACAGGTATCTGGGACAGGCAGAAGGGGAGGGCTGGCTGAGATCAGCACAGGACAGTGATGCAAGTTGTTTCCCTCTGCAGCTTTGTAGGGATGCGATCTACCTGTCTTCTGCTTGTGATGGACAGGCAGAGCATGGCGAAACCCCTGGGAACCTCTCACGGAACCCCGGTTTAGAAACACTGCTCTAGATGTCTCACCATTTTACTGAGAGGTGGAAAAGAAAATACAATTTACTGACCAGGGTATAGGTAAACATTATGCTGTGATGGTGGAGAACATTAATAGGATGGTTTAAAGGTTATACAAATAAACAAATTTGTCAAATAAGGCCTGAGAGGAGGACAGGAACTATCATCTAATGTATCCCAACAATCACCCAACTGTAGGAGGTACAAGATGGAACCCACAAGCAAACTAAATTGGTGCCTCCTAGTGGCAGAAATGCAGATTTATCTTATCTGAGAACTGTTCGGTGTGCAGTGTTACTTGAATTGTATTTCAGGATTTGCTTGTCTTCAGCTGAAATAACTTTACATAAAGTCTCAGAAATTTTTAATTAAAGTGTTAAAAAACCCACAACAGTATAATCAGTCTGTATATGCAGTAAAGCATGCTTGTTATACTTACTGTGGAACCTAAGGGGTTAATCCTCTGCATTGTGTAAAAAGGATGTTCAATCCTGTCTTCTCTGATATCCTCCCTTCTTCTACTGTCCCCAATTCATCTGCTGATGGAACAGAGCCTTGTGGGCAAGCTGCATATGGTCAGTTTGGTGTGTGGCTAGAGAGTTTTTTTTTGCTTGGGAGAGTGCATGTGATCAGCACAGGGTCAATCAGGGCTGTCCAGACAGAGGGTCAGGGGTTATGTAGCCTCATAGGACAATCAGGGGAGAATGAAAATACAAGCTTTAACCAGTGCTCTTCTGGACACTGAAAGAAGTTACAAGACTGCTCTATAACTGCTGCTGAGAAAAGGTATTTAGCAGTTTACATTTACTAAAATAATTGCATTTCCATGTTGTGTGTACTGTGGGAGACCAGATATATTTGAATGCAGGGTCCTGGGTTTAGTGACACTTTAAGGTCTTCATGTTATATTCAGTACATAGGGAAGCATTTTTCTTGAGCTTTTCAGGTGGTTTTTTAACGCAAAAAAAAACGCTTCAAAAACTCGTCCATGTGAAAGTAGAGTAACACTGTACAGACTAAATGTGTAGGGAATCCTGGCCAGACCTCCTCCTTTGTATTACCCTCCCAAATTCATAGGATTAAAACTTTAAAATAAGTAAGAAGAGACTCTGGTTGATTGATGATACCTCAGCAGTACTGCTAATGTTTGTGTATTTTTGTGTACAGATTAGAGATGGAAAGGCCTGGAAAAAAAAAGTAAAAAATTGAAAAAAAGGTTTTTTTTTTACAAAACCATTTATGGGTTTTTTTTCCGGAAAAAAATGGAAAAGAAAAAAAAAAAAAGAAGTGTGGAATATGTTCTTTTAAAATGATAAATATTATATCTATGACATGGTATTCAAACTACAGTATTTCACAGAAGTGAGTACACCCCTCACATTTTTGTAAATATTTTATTATATCTTTTCATGTGACAACACTGAAGAAATGACACTTTGCTACAATGTAAAGTAGTGAGTGTACAGCTTGTATAACAGTGTAAATGTGCTGTCCCCTCAAAATAACAACACACAGCCAGTAGCCTCCCTGGCAGTATTCCCGAGTGTAGCTCGGGGTAAAGTTTCAGTACCACAAGCGGTAACCCCGAGCTACACTCGGGCTTACCATGCGGCGCTGCTCTGGCATCTGTTCTTCACTTACCTTGTCCTGCGCTCCCACGATGTCCCTCCTGCAGTGTCCCCGGCAATGTAATCCGGCGGATTCCGGCATCTGTCATCTGGGTTCCGTCCCCTGCGAGCGTCAGGATGCACGGGGGATGGAACGGCGGGAAATTTGAAAATGACAAAAAAAGTGACATTCACTAAATACACTAAAATCACATAGTAAAACATTACTGTATCAAACCATTTCACATACATTTTGTCCCGAGTGCTTTGTCCTGTGCCCTGCCTGCATTTTTACTGTTCTTTCTGCCTGGAAACTGAGAAACGTCCATGGCGTCCAAAAAGCGTCCCTTTATGTCAAAAGCGGTTTTAGACCAACTAGAGAACAGCGATAGTAAATCAGAACCATTTGCAGAATTGAGTGATAATGATTTGTGGGGAAATTCGTCATCAGACACTGAAAACGATTTTGCGACTTTGCTCAATGATATGTGAACTTGGCGCTATATTTCAAATTTCAGTGTTTTTGGTTTGATTATATTATTTAATTACATTTATTATTATATTATTATTATTTTTATGATTATTTATTAAATTATAATTTATGATTTCGTGTTTCAAATGTTATCATACCCGGGATGTTTACTAGACTTGTTCAGACAGATTTTCAGTGAGTTATTCCTAAGAATTACAGGCCTACAATAAAAAAAAAATACATATTTCCATGCAAAAAATTTTACCGCTTTGAGCACAGAAATATGGACATAATCAGACCGCTAGGGAGGTTAATGTCTAAACAGCTGGCAAAAAATGGAGTATACCCCTAAGTGAAAATGTCCAAATTGGGCCAAAAGTGTCAATATCTTGTGTGGCCACCATTATTTTCCAGCACTGCCTTAACCCTCTTGGACAGAGGGGGAGATTTAGACCCTGTTCACACTTGAGCATTTTTCAGCTCCCTGCTCAACAAATAAAATCCCATTATTTCCAATGCCGCCTGTTCACACTTCAGCGTTCTGTCACCTGTAGCAAAATGCCTGGCGCTCAAAAAGTACTTGCTTTACTTTTCAGCAGATCTGAGCGTTTTCTCCCCATAGACTTGAATGGGAAACACCTGAATAGTTGAAATGAGCATTTTTTCAAGTGTTTTTTCAGGGCTTTTTCACCTCAAACAGCAGCTATTTCTATTGGCCACAGCAAAAATGCCTAAATGAAAACTCCCTGAAAAACACCTATAATATTTGCAAATCTGCTCAGAAAAACACTCAAAGACGCCTGAAAAAAACGCTCAAGATTAGTGTGAATGGAGCCTACGGCTGGCCATACATTATACAATTTTCTTGAGATTTTTGCTTTAGATTTACCAAAAACCATATAATATGAGGTCAAATTTTACAACACTTCCAGTTGTATCCAATTAGCAGGCCCTTGCACTACATAGCTGAAGGTTAATCTAAAGGAAATTGG